AAATGAAACACAATCCTTGTCATATTTAGGAGAAAAAAGAAAGAACAAAGAACAATGGGGATGTGGTTGTGCTTGAAAACTCTCAGAGTTTAAATGGCCACTTAAAAGGCTAGCCTCCATGTGCGTGCACACCATGCTGATCCAAAATGTGGCTGTTGCACAATCAGTTCAATCATACACGATTTGGAGCATTTAACTAATTACTACTATTTTCCTTGTATAAAACCATGAGACCAAGTACTTTTTGAGTTTAATTAATGGTTTTCTACATGCAAAAATCACTTTAAAGTTTTCATGTGTGATGTGAATAATAATAGGTTAACAGTATAAGCAAATTTTTTCTGATACATTTCAAATATACATTGAGTATGTGTGGTTTCAATGTCAGGTCAAAAAACTACAAGATACTAATGACACAAGCTCAAGGCTTTAATTAACATTTTTTCCTCAGTAAGTTCTTGTCAACCATTTTGTTGATTATTGATCTGATCATCTGGTGAAAAAGTCTTTGTAATGTACTGCTTCCTATGATGCTTGTTCCACCGCGTTCTTCAGTTTAGCTGATTAACCAGCAACTTGCTGATCTTTACTCTAAAGCAGAGGTCACGGATTAGCGGACCGCGGTCCGGATCTGGACCCACCTGCTGGGTAATGTGGACCCGATTTAAAACATTTATAAATTACTGCATGTTGTCAGACGACAGTGTCTAACTTCACTTGCGCCGCTTCCCCTGTTACCCCGATATCCCACATCCTCCGTTGCCGCCCCGCAGCGCTCCAGACCTCCTGCGCACAGCAAAGCCTACAGCCTCCGCTGTTCCTCCCGTATTGCTGCGCTCAGACTTATCCTCGGAGCTTTAGGAGAGCATGCGCAATATTATCAATAAATTCGTAGGAGCAAAACATGAAGAATTTAATATGACATGTTAAAAAAATCCCAATCAGCATCCAGCATTTTTTCGGTTTTTGATGGAGATGAGAAATCTGCTTCCTAGTATCTTGAAGTACCAATAGTTTGCATCCAAGCATTTAAATAAACGGTGTTAGTTTTTTTAAACTATAGAAGAATTATGCTCTAATTTGTAGTTACCGATCTGTTGTTACTATATTTTAATTTGACAATCCGGATCTTCTCGCCGTTCTTTTTACTGTTTGGTGCGATTGCAATAGCGGATCTTGACCTGGCCGGAACATTTAGAGTATGTTTGGCTCAACCTGCTGTTGTGAAGCAGGATTCTCCACCATGAACAGAATCAAAAAGATATATCGATCTGGGCTCAAAATGAGCACCTTGATATGTGCTTGAGAATGGCTTTGCCTCCATTCAAACCCAGGTTTAAAGCCCTGCAGGGCAGCCGAAAGCCCACTGCTCTCATTAAGCCAGAAAAAAGAAAGAAAAATAACAAAGGGTCAGTTCAGGTGTTTTATAAAATAAGTGAGCTAGCAAATTGTCTATACACAGAAGTGAAAGATTGTTGTTCTTTACTTTAAAAAAAACAAAACACTTTAGATTTTGAAATGGAAACATTTTTTTTTTTTTTTTTTTTTATTCAATGTATAAAGTAACAGATTATTAGAAATGTCTCTGGACCTTTACTGGTTGATGATTTTCTTTATTCGGACCCCTCTGATTTTTAATTGGTCACCCCTGCTCTAAAGGCTTGCTCACACAGCAAGATTTTAAAATTGTCTGGTGATTTTCAACACTTAAGAGACCCCACACATGAGGATAGAAAATGTCAGGGATAGAGCAGTTTTGTCGCACAGTGTGTTCTCTCCAGCCAAACCACAAGCACAGCACATCACACATAAGTCGATTTTGGCGCTCTCGACCATCGAGCAAAGCGTCTACAGACTGTCTTTGTGTCCAGCGGCAGATGCAATTGAGATAGTGGCTTGGCTTTATTTACTATGCTGAGTGGGGAAAAAAAAAATGTTATTAGATGTTTTCAAGGGGGAAAGTACGCCTCAAAATGTGATCCATGCAGTCAGTTCACCAGGATTATGATCCTACCTATATACACTATATTGCCAAAAGTATTTGCTCACCTGCCTTGACTCACATATGAGCTTAAGTGACATCCCGTTCCTAATCCATAGGGTTCAATATGACGTCGGTCCACCCTTTGCAGCTAGAACAGCTTCAACTCTTCTGGGAAGGCTGTCCACAAGGTTTAGGAGTGTGTTTATGGGAATTTTTGACCATTCTTCCAGAAGCGCATTTGTGAGGTCGCACACTGATGTTGGACGAGAAGGCCTGGCTCTCAGTCTCCGCTCTAATTCATCCCAAAGGTGTTCTATCGGGTTGAGGTCAGGACTCTGTGCAGGCCAGTCAAGTTCATCCACACCAGACTCTGTCATCCATGTCTTTATGGACCTTGCTTTGTGCACTGGTGCACAGTCATGTTGGAAGAGGAAGGGGCCAGCTCCAAACTGTTCCCACAAAGTTGGGAGCATGGAATTGTCCAAAATGTCTTGGTATGCTGAAGCATTCAGAGTTCCTTTCACTGGAACTAAGGGGCCAAGCCCAGCTCCTGAAAAACAACCCCACACCATAATCCCCCCTCCACCAAACTTTACACTTGGCACAATGCAGTCAGACAAGTACCGTTCTCCTGGCAACCGCCAAACCCAGACCCGTCCATCAGATTGCCAGATGGAGAAGCGCGATTCGTCACTCCAGAGAACGCGTCTCCACTGCTCTAGAGTCCAGTGGCGGCGTGCTTTACACCACCGCATCCGACGCTTTGCATTGCACTTGGTGATGTATGGCTTGGATGCAGCTGCTCGACCATGGAAACCCATTCCATGAAGCTCTCTGCGCACTGTTCTTGAGCTAATCTGAAGGCCACATGAAGTTTGGAGGTCTGTAGTGATTGACTCTGCAGAAAGTTGGCGACCTCTTCGCACTATGCGCGTCAGCATCCGCTGACCCCGCTCCGTCAGTTTACGTGGCCTACCACTTCGTGGCTGAGTTGCTGTCGTTCCCAAACACTTCCATTTTCTTATAATACAGCTGACAGTTGACTGTGGAATATTTAGGAGCGAGGAAATTTCACGACTGGATTTGTTGCACAGGTGGCATCCTATCACAGTTCCACGCTGGAATTCACTGAGCTCCTGAGAGCGACCCATTCTTTCACAAATGTTTGTAAAAACAGTCTGCATGCCTAGGTGCTTGAATTTATACACCTGTGGCCATGGAAGTGATTGGAACACCTGATTCCAATAATTTGGATGGGTGAGCAAATACTTTTGGCAATATAGTGTATATATATATATATATATATATATATATATATATATATATATATATATATATATATATATATATATATATATATATATATATATTAGTGCTGTCAAAATTATCGCGTTATTATTGCGTTAACGCGAGGCCATTTTAATGGCGATAATTTTTTTAACGTGAGATTAACGCTATGTGGTTTTATGGTACAATTTTCCAAGTTCATCCCACTGCAGCCTGCGGGAAGGCGGGGCTATTTTCCCCCAGTCTATGCATTTTCCATAGGCTTCGAGAGCGGAGCTCCTCAAGGAAAAAAGACGCTCATACACTGGGTGGCGCTAGTGCCTTTTCTTTAAGCCCCACCACCAACAAACAAGTTGAGTGTCTGGTGCCTAGTAGCAACCTGAAATACGTTGAGAAAACAGATTACTGAGGTGAAATGGAATCTGCTACGGCACTCTTGCTGTCTGTGTACGCCACAGGTCAGTATCGTGTGTGTGTGTGTGTGTGTGTGTGTGTGTTCTCATTTTTGTGAAGAGGCTGAAAAGTAACTTTCTAGAGCATAGACTACCTCCATCTAGTGATGTTGGTCTATTGATTTTGATGTATTGATTGAAAATTGTTCATTATTACCTTGTTTAATTGACATCTAATGTTAACTGTACTACATTTTATAGCAGTAGGGTAAAATGCTTGTCTTTGTTCAAAAGACTGTATTAACTGTAAAGACTGTCTTTTACATCAGCCTGTTTTCAGGGCCTTTTTTTTGGCTATATATTTGTTATTTTTGGCTACATGCCTCCCCATCTTCTTGCCATATGTTTCTATGGCATAAATCAGTGTCTGTGACCTGTTTTCATTTTAAAAAAAGAACATGGCACAAACCTAGCCTGTATGTATTTTTTGTATGTCATCGAGAGTATTTAAATGATTTCCAATCAGAAAAAAAATGTGTGATTAAAATGCGATTAATCGCGAGTTAACTTAGGCATTGATGCGATTAATCGCGATTAAAAAAATTTAATCGATTGACAGCACTAATATATATATATATATATATATATATATATATATAAAATTTAAGATCTCTGCCTTTTTGTCATGTATAAGACACAAGAGCTTATGATTACCTTTTTTCTGCCTGTCAACTACCTACTTGGTAATTGGTGACTTTGTTTCGTGGGGTGAGTTTTTGCTTGTAATGAACCTCACATAAGACTAAAATTGTTTATGCACTGGATACTGTATCTATTTATAAAGTAAGACTTGACTAAACTGACTAGTAAAGGCTCTTCATTGGGTTGCAGGACAGGATTATAAGTTATAAAATTACAGAAGCAGCCTCCATTACTTTTACTCGTTTATGAGGAAGCTTTTTGGGTACTAGGTATAACAATAAAAGGCATTGGTCAACTGTTAGCCTTCATCGGTGCAAAGATTGTCATCTTAACCACAGCTTTCTATTAACACTGATCTAAAGGAATATTGATATCTAATAATAGTTGATCATCTCTTTCTAATTTCTCAGTGGTCACACCTGAACTAGAATGCCATCAGGATTGTCGGATTTTTTTTAATTCATAGAAAACTTGTAGGAAACACAACATTTCTAATGTGCTGTCGGACAAACAAACATAAGTAGCAATGAGTTACAATACCAGCGATCTGTTAAATGTTTGGATTTGGAAAAAAAAAACTGGTGTGAACATTCATGTAAGAGCCTAAAACAGATTAGTTTATCGTGTTGCTTTACCTGCACAGTTGCTGTGTGATCGGAAACAGGAGCCAGCTGCACATACTGCACTTGAATGTCAGGTGGGAGAGCGGATCCCTCTACTGCTGTGGCTCCTCCATCGGCTGAAGCGACAGCTATCAACTGAGCTCCACGCAGCACCTGGGGCATCCAGAAAGGAAAGGAAAGGCAGAAAGATTAACTTAAGTTCACCCTACCGGCTTTGTCTTTGGCACATCAGATAACAGTTCATACAAACATATAAGGAATGCAAATTATGGCTGTTAGTTTTGTAGCATAAATTCTGTGTTTTTAGACATTTATTTAGAGATGGTCCATCTGAGTCTGAAAATGCAGATGATTTCAGACCATCTACATGAGGGATGATTAAATCTCTCATTCAATAAGGCACTAACCATGCAGGAAAGAAAGAAGAATCGGTTTGTAGGAGAGGCTGAGACAGTCTGACTTCTATTTTAGTTGTACGCTTTGCTTTTTTCCTATAGCCCACAGTATTTTACTGTATATGTTACCCAAGGCGCAGTGAGAGAAAATTTGGGAAACTTGATGATTTATTGGTTTTATTTTTCAACAAATGCTTTCTTGTAAATGTAATGTCATCTAAATTCAGCGTGAAGTGGAAAGAAATACTGCGATTTCTGCAAAATACACTCCGTAACGACAAAATTTCAAATCAGCTTCGGTTATGGCTTTTAAAAAAAACTTGGATTGGAAAATTGCAACATTGATTTTCTTAAACACACCATTAGGTTTTTACCAGAAGGATAACGGATAGCTCACTCTATTTGGTCATACGTGTTTAACATTGGAAAGTATTTTAAAGCAACCGCATTGCGAATAAAATAACTATTTACTTGTATGCTTATAGAATAGCATTACCATGAACTGCCCTGACATTTCTGAGAATGGAGTCGTTTCTTAATGGCAGACATCAGTTTTGGTCTGCATCCCAGCCAATTCTGACCCTCATTTGATCTGAGGTCTCTGATATTCTTTGTCTTCTTCAGGGCTGAGGTCATTAAAGCACTTCTATAATGCATGTGAGACAATAACAACAACCCTTATTTAATATATCAAAACTAAGTCCAGAAGATCTGTAGGTGGTTCTGATGACAGCAGTCTGCTACCATTCAGAAAGACTGAAACACATGTCGTAATATGTACTTTTAACCCTAAAACAGCATCATGTTCAATCAACACTGTGAGCTAGGCTGGGTAGAGCTTAACTTTCAGCGTTTGACTTGCAAAATTCTCTATATGCATAAAAACAAGCAGCACAGAACATTTTTTATGAACATTGTCTACGCCAGAATCAGAAGAAACTTTTTGGGTAAGTAGTTTTTAAAACATCATATACATTTGCTTTGTTAAGGTGTTACACGCAGACAAACATAAGAAATATATACTATATAATAAACAAATGTAAGTTATATAGGCATTTTAAGAAACCAGAAAATACTGGTTCATTTTTTTCTAGAGGAAGAGCAGTATGGTAGATAAGCAAAAACATACAATAAAAAATAAATATTGAGAAAAATAGTATTTACATGTGCTGAGAAATCAAATTATTAATAACAGAAATGTGTCAGTGGGGGACCTGGGCTTTGTTAATGAGGTTAGCTGCAGACGGGAAGAAGTTGTTTTTGTGGCAAGAGGTTTTGGCCCTGATGGACCTTCCAGAAGGGAGAAGCAAAACACTTAAAACCAAACTTGGCTATAACTTTAAAACCAGGGTTGCAAATTAGCCTTTTCTCCAATTAAACAATTTGTTTTATGTTTTTAAACACTCTGAGTCATTTAAATAAAAAATGGAAACACTTAAATATATTTATTGAAAAAGAAATTAAATGACTTGGCAGAAGATCCTAAATGGGACTGCAGGAAAATCTTTATCTCCAGAGAGCAGCATTGGACTGTTTGCCTATGCGGCATTAATTACAGAACAGTGGTGTGTAGCAGCATTTCTTTTAGAAATAAACAGCTTTTCTTAAATGCAGCTCTTGCCGAGCAGCACCGAGATCAACAAATTATTGCTGTTAATTTACAAGGCATAACTTTTATATGACAACAGACATCCAGATTACCATGCAATCATGCTGTCAGTGCATACACACAGAAAGACAGATAGGGAGAAAAATCCAGTCAGCTCTGGATTGTTAAACGATCTCTTTAATTAGCTAGAGGACTGAACAAGTCTCTGCTGTGGCCTCGAGCCTTGCAGCAACAATAGGATCATTTCTGTTTGAAGTGAGGCATTCGTGGATGAGCTAAAGACATGATCTCATTTATATTCTGTTCTTTTAATTTCATACCCTCAAATTAAAAAAGTCAGTTACTGAAATTCTGAATTCCTCAGTTTTCATGTATATTTTCTCATGTGGGATCTTTGTGGGACTAACCCAGGACATACTTAGCAGACTGTAGAAATTCATACCCAAGCCCACAGAGAAAACAGTAAACCTCAATTGCAGATGTTTGTTTCCCTAATCTCTGAGTTCCACACAATCCCACAGACCCCTTATCCAACTGCTGCTTTGAAGTCCTGAGGTGGTGACGGCCCTCAAAGGTTCGGTCTGAATCCACCGGGGTGACATTTTGCAAGTCGCCTCAGTTTCTGCTGCCTCATCACCAAAAGGTGCCAGTCCCAGTCATCCTGATGGAAGCTATTAGCATAAGAAACCCTGTCTGACTCATCAGATCCCACCACAAGGACACTTTAGAGAACAGACTGGTTTGGAGGGAACTGGGTTAGGCTCTGGATGGAGCCCAGCATGATTACATCTGGCTTAAATGAACTGCAGAACTTGGTGACCTATAAAGCAGAACTATTTGGACCACTACCCTGGTGGGTTGGTGTAAACAGTAATCTAACATTTAAGGAATAATTTCACATGTTGAGAAATGCTCGCATTTGCTTTCCTGCCAAGAGTTATAACAGAGTATCAGTCCCTCTTATGTCTGCCAACAGCCGCTTTGCTTTGCATTAGTAGAAACAGCTGCAAGCTGACAGTCTGGATATCCCCCCATGCTTTTACTGTTTTTCACTCAGAAAAGATGTATAATTTGTAAATAGAGAATCATCATCATTAAAAAAAAAATAAATAACTTTAAAAAAGGAGATTTCTACTTTTAAAAAAATATAGCTGCATCTATTAAATAGCACTGGGCAAAAGCAAAGGGTTCTCAGTATGGCAGGTCACTGGAAGGGTGAGAAACCAGCTGCTGAGACGTTTGGCCATGGCAAGGATCCAAAGAGATGCAGCGCTATCTCCATTCTGTCACACTGCTGAATTAGGCAAGAAAAGTGGTTCCTGCCAAGTTCTCATCTCTTTGTAATCCCTCCATACTCTCTACAGTCCAAATGGTATATCTAAGAGTATAATTACTGGAGTTTGGGGAGGAGGAGGAAGAGGGGGACGCAGCGGTTGAGATTCAAGATTGTAAACACTTGTCTCACTCAATTAGAGTTTCATCCTCCTTTTGAGAGCAGTTTGCATTCTCAGCTGTGAGAAGCAACACACAGCAGTTCAGCAAAGCATTTGAGTTGGAACGCTGTGTGAGATCAGCACAGGGATTGCACAGGAACCTCTCCGCTCCGCATGTTGTCCTAGAGACTTTCTCTTAACAGAACAGCCTGTCTCTACCGTTTAGGTGGGAAGCTGTCCAAGACCAAGGAGAAAAAATTTTTAAAAGACTGAATAGTTTTCATACTTTGGTGTAAAAAAACAAAAACAAACTTGAAGATGTGATTAACTGAGGTTCATACAAAAGACATGATTGGGTGATTCTGAGGAAAGCTAATGATAATTGCCTCTTACTGCTAATAGGATATAATCATCATTAAGCTCGTTAGCACTCATGCGACAACAGAAATAATTATAGCGTTGCATCAGAATGAAAAGGTCTAATGAGGCCAAAATGAGGCAGCTTGTAGATTAGGTTTCATCAATGACAAAATGAGCAATAGTCAAACAATGCATTATACAAGAGGGGGACAAATGCTACGAGGAGCCTCTGAGCATAAAACTTCCCCTGCTGTACAGATAGAGATGTGACCTTCCTCATTCAGTCAGCTACTGCTGTCTTTCTCACCTTAGATGGCATGATGAGGCAAGCGGTCCAGACGTTCTGTTACAGTGCTTTGACTGATTTTACTGGGAAAGTATAACTTAAATAATCTTGAAACTCTTGAACTGTACATGGTGCCTTACATATATATATTAATAACCAATGAACCTTTCGGTTTTCTTAATGCCCTAACCTCAAATAGCAGTTTATTCAACTTGGATATCAATTGATAAGACATCAAAGAAGAAACTGATGCATTTTTTTTTTGTTTTACAAATAAAACAACTATGGCGATCCTTAATAATCAGAGCCTTTATTTTGCCCACTTATCTTAGGTAATGAGCTCTAAATCTATGACATACAAAGACCTCCTTGCCATCGCCCTAATCATTAGCTCCCATTTCAAATTCTGATTTAATTTCTATTCAAAAATCAGCTTTTGCCACTGTAAAACATTAATATTACTTCCATTTTGAACAAAAAAGTTGATAAATATTACTTTAACCTAATCTGTTCAGTTAGAGCATCTCTAAAGTCCTGTCAATTTGGTTAATATTTCATTAAGCCTGAAAATCATTTATTTTCAGTGCAACCTAATATCTTCTACCCGATGCACTGGATTCAGCTGTAAAAAACTAATTAATTAGTCTGCAGATCTTAAATTCTTTAATTATGCCCTTCCAAGTTACAGATCAGTTGGTTTGTAATCATTTGGCTGCAGGGTTTAAAATGCAGATCATAGGTGGATTAAATGGAAATTAAAGCGAATCAAAAGATCGAAAAAAATTTAGCATGAAGCCCTCCGGACGCACTTTCAGCAGACATAAGAAGAGAGAAAACTCTTTTACTTATTGCCTTGTTGTTTTTAGTAAGTTGCCGAGAAAAATGAAACACAGCAACACACCTAATGGATAACAGAATGTTTCAATCTGACTGTGATTAAGGCTTAAAGCATAATTTTGTGCTTTAACTTGATACAGCAGCTGTAACATAAGAGCTTTTACAGAAGTAAATCATTAGGAGGACTGAATACTCTCTTTTGTGTACGACTAAGAGTAATGCAGACGACAGAT